CCGGGAGCGGCCACTGCACTCCAGTCTGGGCGACAAAGTGAGACTCCAACTCAAAAAAAGTAAATAAATAAATAATAATAATAATATAATAAGCCTGGGCTCGGTGGCTCAGCCTGTAATCCCAGCGCTTTGGGAGGCTGAGGCGAGTGGATTGCCTAAGCCTGCAGGTTCGAGACCAGCCTAGACAACTTGGCAAGACCTTGTCTCTACAATAAATCAAAAATTAGCCTGGTGTAGCCAGGTGTAGCACGTGCCTGTAGTTCTGGCTATTAGGAAGGTTGAGGTAGAAGGATCACTGGAGCCCAGCAGGTCAATGCTGGGGTGACCACGAGTGTGCCACTGCACTCCAACCTGGGTAACAGAGTGAAACTCCACCTCAAATAAACAAAAACAAAGCAACAACAACAAATAATAATAATAAAATAAAATTTCTGGCTGAAATCCATTGAATCAGGTAATTTGATAACCCCATCTAATAGATGACAATCCAAAGTTTAAAAACAATTAACTAAACCGGGCTTGGTGGCTCAGCCTGTAATCCCAGCACTTTGGGAGACTGAGGTGAGTGGACTGCCTGAGCCCGTGGGTTCAAGACCCATCTGGGCAACTTGGCAAGACCTCATCTCTACAATAAATAAAAAAAAAAAATTAGCTGGGCTTGGTAGCGCGCGTCTGTAATTCCAGCTACCTGGAAGGCTGAGGCGGAAGGATTGCCGGAGCCCAGCAGTTTGAGGCTGCGGTGGCTGGGAGCGTGCCACTGCACTCCAGTCTGGTTGACAGAGTAAGACTCCAACTTGAAAAAAAAAAAAACAATTAACTAAATCATAAATAAAATCCTTGAGTTCCATTCACCGCTCCTGCCATGGCAGGGCACACAATAGGAACCACTCAAACAATAACTTGTTACACTGAACCAAAGAAAGGGTCATAAACTCAGGAGTTTGGGTGACTAATATAATTGATTAAAAAGGGAGGGTGTAAGAATAGCCCAAGTGGTATAAATGTATATGATCCTCAGTTTCTGAGAGATAATAAGGAGTAGTGGGGACGTTGAGAAACCAGAGAACACAGGCCCTGTCTAAAGGAGACAGCTGCTATTCAACTCCAGACAATTGCTGCCAGCTTGAATGCCCAGTGCTGTCAGAAATTTTGAATTTAGGAAAAGTGGCAACTTAAGATATATTTGTTTAAATATTGACAACTCACTTTTTTTTTTTTTTAGTTGTAGTCTCACTCTTTTGCCCAGGCTGGAGTGCAGTGGCACACTCACGACCACCCCAGCATTGACCTGCTGGGCTCTGGCGATACTTCTGCCTCAGCCTTCCAAGTAGCCAGAACTACAGGCACGCACTACCAGGCCCGGCTAATTTTTGATTTATTGTAGAGACGAGTTCTTAACAAGTTGCCCAGGCTGGTCCCGAACACCTGGACTCAGGCAATCATCTTGCCTCAGCCTCCCAAAGTGTTGGGATTATAGGTTGAGCCACTGCGCCCAGCCTGACCTGTACCTTTTTAATAGTAGCTTGATGCTACTATTCATAAAGGTGAAAGATTCTTTGCCTTGGATGGAATTTTCCTGCCTTAAAAGATTCAATTATTGCCATCATTTCCCAGTTACTCAGTTATTTGTCAACTCTATCCCCAAGTGGCCACCAGCAAGGTTAAAATATTCCTTTCTTTTTAGCATCTTAGTAAAAGACAGGTTTGCTCACTTACCTTGTTTACTAGAATGCAGTCTTGGTGAATAAATAGCAAATCACTTATTTGCCCTCAGCAGCCAATCATTCTTGTCCAAAGCCAGTTTCTGTTGTGGCTATCATTGCTCCTGCCCAGCTGGAGCAGTGGATCCAAAGAATCTGATAAACGATTTTCTTAGAAAACTTCATTGAAACAATACAAAATTTCTCACCCTGGAGTGTACGTATGAGAGAGTGACTAATCGCTGAGAATTAATTGGGGCCAATTATGACCAGTCTGACTTGTCATGGCATCAACACATCTGGCATAACTTGCTTACTCTCAGACTTACCTCCACCCTCTCCCCCCTCACATGCTTGCTTAGGAAGCTCACCATTTTGAAAGCATAGCGAATGCCTTTCAACACATCATTATTCAAAATGGGAGGGGAATCTGGATTGCTTGAGTAGGAATTCAGCTCACAATTAAGTCCTGGCAAGATGCAATCACAGGTTGGGGAGGAAAAAATACTTCCTCCTCGCCACATGATAAAGAGACATCAGCAGTTCAGAAGGATGAATACCTTTTCCCCCCTCTATTTTATCTTTTCCCATTTATATGCTAACCTTTTACCCAGAGTTGTTTTAATGATGCCGCTCAGAGCTGGTGTGTTCCAGCACTGCAGGAAAGACTGGACTAAACGCACAAATACGCAGAAACTCAACGTCTTCATCCTAAGGATTCAGTCCCCTCTCCCACGGCCTGTAAGGAATGGTAGGAGATGGCTATCCTTTATCTGCTTATATGTACTCTATCTATCCTTCCTGAGGTAGCCTAGGACAACCGGTCTCAGCTCACCTTCACCTTTATCATTCCGTCCGAGTTTCCCATGGGAGAATGCACACCAAACTGAGCACTGGATATGCAGGATTGTGTATGATGCAATTTGGCTCCAACGTTATCTTTAAATTAAGAATAGCAACTATTTGAGCCAGGCTTTACATACAGTATTATATTTAACCCTTCGCACGATCTCCATTTTATACACGAAGAAACAGGTTTGGTGATGTTGTAAATAGATTTTATGCATTAAATTAAGATCACACAGCAGGTGGCAGAACTGGGGTGTAAACTCACCTACTTCCATGGCTGCCTTAATGACTACAAATACCAGCACCCCTTGCCTCGCCCCATCGCGCAAATGCACCCTCCCAAGGGCCCAGTCCTCGCGGCTGGATCCAGGACCCAATCAGACGCCGCCTCTCCCCGCGCCCGACCAATGGGAAAGCTGTTGCTAACAGGCCGGTTATATTTTTAGCTTCCAGCGTTCTGGCCCCGTGTGGGTCGGCTGAGTTGCACCGCCCAGCGAGAAAACGCTAGGGGAGACAAGAGAAGGGGCGGGGAAGAGAAAGAAGGGGAGGCGGAGCGGGGCAGTGCGCAGGGGGCGTGTGTGTGACGTTCTGTCACTCGCTGACGCACAAGGCAAGTAGTCCCTGGAGGTGCCTGCGGCCTGCGGCGCTCCGGGTGTGGGGGATGTGGCGCTCAGGCTCCCTCCCGCCAACCTGTCCCCGTGGAGTTTGTCCTCCAGCCTAGCATTTCTCCGCTGCAGGCAAGGAAAGCGCATTTAAAGCCCCCACGCTACGGTTGCTCTCTGCCCTTGCCAAAAAAAGCGATCAAGGAAAAAAAAAAAACTATAGCCGGAAACTTTCGGATCTCGCCACCGCACGTGGGATCGGCGGCTGCCGTTAGGCTGGAACCGTCTGGAATGAGAAAAAAGGCGTGGGCGGGAAGGGGAGGATTGGGGAATGGGCGCGCTAAGAAGGGGCAAGGGAAAAGACCCCCACGCGCGATCCGCCTGGGGCTTCGCCTTCCGGCAGGCCGGTCTGTCTGTGATCTCTGAACACGGCCCTCCCTATCCCAACTCTGCGTCCTACACAGTCACACAAAGGCGTGTCCCGCGTGGCCAGAGACCGGGGAAGGGAGTCGAGCACGAGTGCCCGCGCGCCCAGCCCCGGGCTCCGCGAGCCTTGCCCAGCCGCAGGAGGGACCGTCGGACGTGCGACTCCGGCGGCCCGTGCACGGGCGAGCGTCACCCCACGCCGGCGGGACAGTTCCTAAAAGTGTGGCTCTCCCCGTGGCCCAGACGGGGGCCGCCAACAGGGGCGTCCGGGGGGACCCCGCTCGCGCGCCTGCGCGGAGCCGGCTGGCCCTCTCCGCGCCAGAGGCGGCGAGCGGAAGGTCAATTCGTGGCACTCGGCTCGCGTTCCCGCTGTCAGCCTCTTCCCGCACGGCGTGCTCCAGACCCCAGATTCCCCCTCGCCCTCCTTTGGACGTGACGAGCGTCCCCAGGAGGCACTAGGCGCTCGAGAGAGTCGGGCCAGCAGCATTCGGCTCCCAGAGCCCGCGTCGTCCCCTCAGCTCCCGTCCCAGGTAGAGACCGGGACGGGGCGATGCCAGCGCCGCGGGGACGATCGGACGCCCAGAGCTGGAGGGACGGCCTGGAGGAGCGGCTCGGGCAAACGTCCGAGCCGTCGGCGCCCAGGCCGGTGCAGGGCCGAGGCCTCGGCGGGGCGTGTCTGGGGGGTCCGGCGATGCCGTCCCCTTCCCCGCGACATTCATCCATCAAACACAGCTAAAGTGAGCGTCCACTGTGTGCCTGGCCCGTGAGCAGCCCAGTCCCAGGCCGGTCCCTGCCCTCGCCGAGCTCCCCTGTCTGCCTAGGGGACGCCTCACTCGAGGAGCACGAGTTCAGAGCGGTTTGGGCTTCAAGTGCGGCGCTGTGACGGGGAGGGAGGGAGGACAGCCTTGCCGAGGAACCGACGGCAGTGAAGGGGCTGGGGGAGCGAATCCGTGAGCCCGCGGGCTTCGCCAGGCCACGCGGCACGAGCGGGTTAATCCTGCGAGCTGGCAGGGAAGTAGTCCCGGCCGGGCGCCCGTCCCCGCCCCTGCAGGGCGGAGGGACGCATCACGCAGGGGTGGGGAAGCGGGATCCGTGCGCAGGGTTGCTAAGGGTGAAACTTTTCATTGACTTTGCTCACTTCGGGCCGGGGCGCGGGAAGGTGCGGGTAGTCGGCGGGGAGAGGCGAGTGGCTGGGGAGACGCGGGCCAGAGGGGCAGAGCGCCCGCCGGCCGCAGCCGTACCGCCCTCCGCGCCGCTACACGAGCCACCCTCCGGTCCGCCATCCCCGCGCGGTGGCCGCCGGCCCGCCCGCCGCCGAGCCCGACCTCCAAAAAGCTGAAAGAATTATTGAGAGTCATAGCCCGTAACCCCTGATTTGCGTCCCCCAACCCTCAGCGACGAAAAGGACATCGTCCCTGGCCCGGCGGCGCCCGGGAAGGAAGGGAGTGCCACTCGGCCCCGCGCTCAGGACCACCCTGGAGGGAGAAGCCGCCCCGCGGCCGGCAGAGCGCCCCGCCGCCGCGGAGACCCGAGTGAGTGAGTGGGGGCGCGCGGGCAGGGGACTCACCCGAGACCCAGCCGGCCCGACCACCTCCCCCACCCCGCCCCACTCCTGCTCTTCGCTTTGCTGGACTCTCCACGTTGCTGTCGGCCCCCACCCTACTCCTCCTTCTGGCCAGCGTTTTCCTTTCCCCTTCTGCCTTCCCTCTAGAACCCCTTTTTCTCTGTGACCCTTTTTTCCTCAAGCCATCTCTGATCTTGGGGTCCCAAGAGTCCCCTTCTCTCCCAGTTCTAAGTGTGGCCCCCTCCTGGGTGGGGTGCATTTCCTCCTCTCCCTGCCTCCCCCAGTTCCACATATTCCATATACTTACTAAATTTTCCTTGTTCTCCAAAGAAACATAACTCCCCCCACCGTTAAGTAAATCAGAGGAAGGAAAGGGATACAGGCCTTGTTTTTCTGTTTTTCCCGTGTGCAGGGAAGGGGGGGGGGGCTGGTAATTATTAATAGGATTTATTTCTGGTTCTGTGGAGCCTTAGAGGTGGAGGTTGGACACCCCCTTTTGGGCGATGGACCGGTCAGGGGAGACTGTCCTTGGGCTCCTGAACCAGAATTCACCCATTTCAGCTTGAGCTCTTTATACTCTTCAGTGTTTTAGGGAAAAACTGGGCAGAAAAAAGTACCCATAGAACAGTACCAGTGAGTGGATTCTGGTTGCTCTCAGTGAGGTGCCTGGGAGCACAGGCCCGACCCCTAAATTCCTTCCCCTCCTGTCCAAAAGATGAACTGTGCCCTTGACCAGAAATCTGGGGAAGAAAAGAAGGGTACAGAGAGATGAGGGACAGCGGCAGGCCCTCTCCCTCCCCAGGAAGAAAGAGAACCCCACGCAGCAGACTTCAACTTGGGGCCCAGCAGATGAAATCTTGGGTACCTGCTCAGTATCTTTTTCTCCTTCCTGTTCTCCCTACCCTGGGAGTGGGTCCCTCATCTCTGATTTCCCAGCAGAAAAACCGCCCCTCTTGCTTTCTTGGGCGCCTGGCTCCATCCCTCCCCAAGGCGTAGGGGAAGGAAGCTCGTGTGGGAGGGAGGGTTAGGGAGGTTTAACGCCCAGTGGGGGAGCTTTGCCGAGGATCTGGTAAGTCTGGTCTTAGAGCAGGCCTTGCAATGGGAGGAGGAGACTCGAACAGAATTTCAAGTATGAGATGCTCAGGTGTCAGATGTACATACAGTTTTTTCCTTCTCTGCCGGGGAACCTTTTCCCATTTCCCTCTCCCGGGTCTGGTTACTCAGACTTGGATTAGAATCGGGGTGACGCTTGGGTCCTGCTGGCGTCGGCCCTTCTAATTGTCGGCCCGGCGCCTCCCCACAGCTTAACTGGGAATTTCTTTGGCCAAGAGGATAGGATAACTGGGTTTACTTTCTGAGTGCTAGAGCTGAACTCGCTAGGAATTAAGCGAAAAAAGCTCATTTCTCTTTGAATCCACCATCCCTACAGCAGCCCCAAACGGAGTGACCAGCCCGTGGAATTCTGATTAAGAGGCAAGGTGTGGAATGAGGAGCTATGGGGGATGGAACCTTATCTATGCCTGCCCACCCCCTTCACACAGAAAAAACTCATTAGAAGCAGATGTCTATTTGAATAGTCATGGGAGGCGATGAAGGGAAAGGGGGGAAAGTTCAGCCTCTTTTGTAGCCTTAACATGGATTTGGTGGGGTAACAGAATACGGGGAGCAGGCCTATGGGTAGAATTTATATGAAATGTATTAGGCGATGGGAGGGGGGCGCCGGACTGCACAGCGCGCATGTGCATCGGAAACTTTTCTCGGGTGCTCCGACCCTCGGTCAGCTCCCCTTACGGGGCATGCGTGGTTCAGCCGGCTTAGACTTCGCAAAGTACTCCGGGAAGTGTAGTGTGCAGAGAAAGTAGGTCACCTGCTCCTTCCTGGTCCTGAGGCGTCGCGAGACTACAACTCCCAGAGTGCAGAGCGCGCCCTCGCCGCCTGCCTACCACCTACGTTGGAGTTGAGTCCTGGCTTTTGAGGAAGCTGGAGTGTCCTAGGAAGGGTCTTCTTAGTCGAAAGGGGCTTTGTAGGCTGACCTTGTGTTGTCAGGTCTATGTTTTGGGGAAATGATGTAAGACTCCGAGCGGGGTGGGGCAGTCAGTAGACACGAGTCCTGGAAGCCTTTCAACCTATACCTGCCCCTCTGGGCCACCACCTCCTGGACCAGTTGGGGTGGGGCTGATCCCCCCCTCTCTCACTGTCCTGAGGAGCTTCCCGAGTTCAGCTCTCACTCCCCTGGCAGCATCGGGGTACTCATGTCCACTCAGCCTGTGACACCCAGTGGCCTTGTTAAAACTGAGGTCTCCCACACTCATTTATTTGTTTGCTTGTAGGATGGTTTGGATGTTAAGGCTTAAGTGGGCCTGAATATTTGTATAGGCTTGGGGCCCAACAGATTCCATTACCATTAAACCTCCTTTTCCTCTTTAAAACACAATTTTCTTGGAAACTTTCCTTCACTTCGTGACATTAGAACAGTCAAGGCCAGGCACAGTGGCTCACGCCTGTAATCCCAACACTTTGGGAGGCTGAGGCGAGAGGATTGCTTCTAAGCTCAGGGGTTCGAGACCTGCCTAGGCAGCTTGGCGAGACCTCGTCTCTACAATAAATCAAAAAATTAGCCAGGCGTGGTGGCGCGTCAATGATTCCA